CTCGAGCTCTTCTGTTTCACTCACTGGTTCCCTCGAATTTTTTGGTTGAGGCCATTCACACTACGGTTAACTTTATTAATTTACAGATTACCCCGATTCTGCAGCAACGAAGTCCGTATCAAGCTTTATACTCTCGTCTCTCAGATTATGGTTGGTTGCGGGTTTTTGGGTGTGTGTGTGTGTTATGTTCTGCTTACTTGACGGGAGAGGAATAAGCTCACTCCTAAATCTATTAAGTGTGTTTTGCTGGGCTATTCAGATACACAGAAAGGTTATGTATCCTATCATGTAGTTTTTCTTGAACACGTGCTGTTTTTTGGAGCTTCTATTTCATAGCCTTCCACACCACCATATTTGGATTTTTTTAGCTTCACGAGTTGTCCATTCCGACTCCCACTGATGATCCACCACACGAAGAACCATCTTCTGCCTATTCCTCGACGGGCACATATTCCTCAAGCTCCTCCACCTCCGGTCACACCTGCTGACTCATCTCCTTCCTCGCCTTGCTCTCCTAATACAAGTGGTTCCTCTTCATCTCGCCCAAGCAACAGCTCGTCTCACATGAGCAGCAATGAAGACTCCACTTCCTCTCATGCCTCCCTTCAAAATGTGGAAGCCGGAGTTCCCCAGCTGCGGCGCTCCACTCGAGCAACTCAAGATCAACCTCCTCTTCGGCACTCTAATTTTATTACCTTTTCCACCCCGGCTGTCTTTGTTCCGGCAAGTTATAAGCAAGATAAAGGGCATGCTGAATGGGATAATGCCATGAATGTTGAAACAGAAGCACTCAAAGCCGCACATACATGGGATTTGGTTCCTTGCTCTCCTGAGTTCTCTGTTATTGGATGTCGGTGGGTGTTTACTATTAAAATGAATCCCGATGGAACGGTGGAACGTTTTAAAGCTTGGCTAGTGGCGCAAAGATTTCGACAGGAGTATGGCATTGACTATGCCGAGACCTTTGCGTCGGTTGCCAAAATGCAGATGGTTCAGAGTCTCTTAGTTGTCGCAGCTATGAAGAATTGGTTGTTGATTCAGTTGGATGTGAAAAATTCCTTTCTTCATGGTGATCTCAAGGAGGTTATATACATGGAGCTTCCTCCTCGGTATACAAAGGGTGATAGTTCTATGGTGTGCAGGATTTATCGATCCTTATATGGACTGAAACAGGCTCTACGGGTGTGGTTCGAGAAGTTTCATGCTACTATTATTCAGGCTGGTTTTGTGCAGAGTGATAGTGATTCGTCCCTCTTCCTACTTTCTTCTCCTCGTGGCCTCACGGTTCTCTTGATCTATGTTGACGATATGGTGATTAGTGAAGATGATGTAAAGGGCATTCAGGATATAAATCAGACTCTGAGATCTGCGCTTAATTTGAAGGAATTAGGTGATCTTTCTTATTTTCTGGGACTTGAGATTCATTGTTCTCCGGCTGTTATTCACATTGATCAGCGGAAGTATGTACTTGATTTACTCGGAGAGGCACAGATGGATAAGTGCGCTCCTTGCGCTACTCCCATGGAACAGAATCTCAAGCTTCGATAGGGGGATGGTGATTTATTGTCTAACTTGATCTACTTGAGTCACACACGCTCAGATATCTCATATGTTGTACAGGTTGTGAGTCAGCTGCACCGTGTACTACTCACTGGACTGCAGTCCAACGTATTCTCCGCTATCTCAACGGCAGTCAGGAGGTCGGCTTGATGTTTCCTGCAGGTGGTGAAGCTGTGATGGATGTGTCAAAGTGGGTCACTCTTTCATTTCATGGCAGTGTTAGAAGCAAGATTGTGAGTCAAAGTCATCCATAGAGGCAGAATATCGTTCCATTAGAGAGGTTGCATCTGAGATCACCTGGTTATGTCGATTGTTAGCCAAGTTGGGAGTTAAGATTACTACTCATGTTCGGTTGTTTGTTGACAACACTAGTGCTATTCGTATTGCTACGAATCCGGTCTTACAAGATAGGACCAATCACATAGAGGTTCACGTTCTCTATATTCTCCAGCTGGTAACGGAGGGCTCTGTGGAGTTATCATATATTACGTCAGAGGATCAAACAACAGATTTGTTGACTAAAGCAGTGTCTTCGTCACATAATTGGTTTCTAGCACACAAAATGATGTTGTGTAGCACCATCAATTTCAGGGAGGGTGTTAGAAGTTAGGAGTACATAACTGTAATTAACCTAATTTAGGGTTAATACTCGACCTAGTATATAAAGGTTGCATGGCCGAGTTTCTGATGTAACGTGTACGAAATAATAATCAAGAACTTTTCCTTGGGCCGTGGACTAGTCTCAACGATCATCGTTGAGGAAACCACGTAAATCTTGTGTCGTGATTTATGCTTTCTATGATTGATCAAGACTTTAACATCCATAGCCATAACTTTGCACTTTGTGATAAATATAGCCAAATTTTGAAAAATACACAAAAATAGCCACAAATTTGAAACTACCTTGACATCCATTTCCGTTAAAATTATTGACGGAGTTAGAGATGCCATTAACGTCCGTCAACAACAAGCTGAGATGGCGCCTCGTCAGCTTTCACGTCAACTCTTAGTCAACGTTTCATGCCACATGTCAAATTAAAAATTGAAAATATTATTTATTACAAAAAATAAAATAAAAAAATCTATAATCTAATTGACCATCATCTCTAAACCTCCTGCTCCATTCATCGTCTCTAAATAATCTAATTAACACCATTCATCCCCCTCTCACCACCACCATCGCAATCTCTACGGTCCGTCTTCTTCCTTCCGCGGTCCGCCTTCTGATTCCTCTTTAATTCTTCTTCCTTGTCACTTCTCACCATTAAGCCTTCTGATTTCACGGGCTTCATCAATTTCCCGACAACTACATGGATCCCATCAATTCCCCCGCCTGCTTCATCCATTTTTGAGAAAATAAACCAGGGTAGCCGCCGCCGTCCATCTCTCCGTACTCCACTCAGCCAAAGCCGAGTCCTTTGCTACTCTAGCCGTAGAGATCCCGACCACCGTCGAAGAGGCAGACCAATTGTTGCCTGATGAGATTCATCTTCTTCGTCTCCTTCCTTCGCCTCCCCTTTATTCGAATTTCTCGTGGGTAATGCCGAGGCCGTGAGTCTCTAAAATCCCTGTTGCAGCAGAAGCTTGAGAGCCGGGAAGATGAGGAGGCACTCAAAATCCTGACTCATCTCGTGGCCGCGCAATCATGCCGCTGGAGGAGAGCAGCAATCTCCATCGTAGATCGAGAAACTAAAACCTAATTTGTCGATATCTCCTTGCATATTTCCTCCCTGGAAAACCACCAGATCTCGGCGGTTTCCAAAGATCTGGGCAGTTTTCAAAGATGTCGCCGCCGGAAATCGACAATGAGTAGAGGGGACAAATGAATCGCCGTCGATGCTGCTACAATTCCTCCCTCCGTCAGTCGCTGCTACGTTTGAATCTCTGTGCATTATCGGACCGCGGAGGTGAGCTGGACCGTGTCAAGTGGTGAATGGATCAAGGATGATGAGTGCGTTCGTCTATTGAGAGTCGCCGACGATTTTGAGTTGAGGTGGAATGGAGGTGGGATTTCTACGAAGAGAAAAATAGAAGAATGGGAAGGGGCGGATGGAGAAGAGGAAAGGAATGGTAATGTAGGTTTTTTAATAAATATAATTAATTTTATTTTCCACCATGGCATGCCACATCGACCAAATTAACCACATATGACAGTTTGTCTAGTCAGCCGTCGTTATAATTCCTTTACATTAATGGACGGAATGACTATTTCTGTGTATTTTTAAAATTTGGCTATATTTGTCACAAAGTGCAAAGTTATAGCTATAGAAGTGTATTTTGCCTAAAAAATTTGAAAAAAGAAATGGGCACCCGCTGTTGCTTATGATATTCTCATTCTTCTCAACTACATAGCCCAATGGGCAATGGTCAACGGTGATTGGACCATCAGATAGCTAGCTTGGCTTGATTATGAGCAGTGTTGTCAAGTTGTAGTTAGGTCACACGTTTGGACCATGTCCGATCAGAGTCGGTATTGAAAATGACTCATAAAAACGTACCCTTTAAATCGATGCTGGTCAAAACCGGTCAGAATCACAAAAAAATTATCAGAACCTTAAAAATCAATCGTCTGATTAGATTTGCAGGTTTCAAGTTCTTAGACAGAATGTTGCGTTTTGGTGAACTCTCAAACCCTATTATGAAAAACAAAGCAATTATAAACAACTTTAAGATCATATAATATATTGATTGTAAATTCATTGTATTGTACCTATAAAATCTTAAATTATTATCATATATATATGCATATATTTCTATATTATGTATAAACCGATTTAAATCAATCAAATCCGATCATACCAATGAAATCTTAAATGATTTGTTTCACCGACTCAAGAGTTTAAATCGGTTCGACAAATTTAATTATAAGACGACTGCGAAACAACAAAAATTCACCTGAAGTATCAAATACCCATATACGAAAAAGGCTAATTCCACTAGAAAGCTCAAACTATTCAAAAAGTGTCACTTGTGTCCTAAACTATTTAATATGACAAATCTTGCACGAACTATATGTGTTGCGTGATATTTGTGTTCTAAACTTATTCAATATGACAAATATAATATAAACCACATAGATGCTGACTAGATTTTCTGATAAACATGAAGGGTCTACGATGATCAACATAAAAAAAATAATTTGTACTAGATTTGTCATATTGAAAAGTTTATGACACAAATAACACTTTTATAATAGTTTGAGGTTGTTAGTGGAATTAAAAGAAAAAAAAAGACCAAGTAGTAGCGGCACGTGCCGCCTTGCCCCGCCCGCGGTAAAGAGCCGAATCTCGATTTGCCCACGACTTTTCGCCACTTGCAGAGAATCAAACGGCTAACATTTTAGATCTCACATCGCCCGTCCGATCTTCATCCAACGTCCAAGATTAAATCTTGTTCCCCACCTTCTGATTCGTTCACACGCAATAAGTTCTCCACTCCGCCTCTCACTTCCCGAAAAACCTCCCTCTTTCTAAATTTCTCTCAGACCAAAAAAGAAAGAAAGAAAACTAACCTCTATTCTTTCTCTCTCTGTCCACTATTACCCTGCGCACTCCGCCACTGCTTAACCTGCGCCCTATGTCGCCGGCGGCGGCCACTTTTGTTCCGTCGATAATTCGAATCTCGCGCTACAGGAGAACGGACTAGGAGGAGAGTTCCCCCAGAAAACAAGCGCTCGTCCCTCGACCGTCATTCATTTCCACAGATGGAAAGCCAGGCCAAGCTCACGAGAAGCTCGTCGTCGTTTCTGCGTTCTTCTTCGACCGTTCGATCGTCAATCCACAGCCTGTCTTCGATGGCGGAGGAGGATCTCACCACTCCGTTGAGACCGCCGGCGGAGGACGACGACGACGAGAAGGATGACAAAGTGATGAGAGAAGATCGGCGGCGGAAGCCTCACCGGTGCGGGTCTAGCTCGACTCCGCGGAGGACCGGTTCAAGCCGATTCACGCCTGTCATAACCATGTTTTCCATCGCCTTCTTGTCTTTCTTCTCCTTCTCCTTCTTTTTCTTCTTCTATTTGAGAAGGGAAGATACACCTACCTCTGAGAATTTGCTTTTGGGATTGGTTTTCCTTGCCGTAACCCTCTTTTTGGCAAGCAAGAACAAGAGCTTGATTAACCAGAATCTGACCTTGATCAAGCAAATTTGGGACGACAATGGAAGGAGGTTCGGCCTATTCACTTCCAGAACCAAGGCCAAGCAGCAGGTGAAATGGTTCATCGGCGAATCAGATTCGGCGGCCAGCGCCATGAAAACTCACAAGGAGGAGAGGATTATTAGAGAAGGGGTGGAGTTCTACAGTAATGGCGATTACTACGAGGGCGAATTCCACAAAGGCAAGTGTACCGGGAGCGGGGTTTACAATTTCTTCGTTAGTGGAAGATACGAAGGGGATTGGATCGATGGGAGGTACGATGGGCATGGAATTGAGAGTTGGACTAGAGGGAGTAGATACAGAGGGCAGTACAGACAAGGTCTGAGGCATGGCTATGGAGTTTACAGATTCTTCACTGGCGATTCGTATGCCGGGGAGTGGTTTAATGGGCAGAGCCATGGAGTTGGAGTTCAGACTTGCGCTGATGGTAGCTGCTACGTTGGTGAATTCAAGTATGGTGCTAAGCACGGCCTCGGTGTCTACCATTTCAGGTTTAATTCCTGTACCTGATCTAAAATTTCTCCACTTTCTATTATCCCTTTCTTCAATTGCAAACTTTTTTGCCAGTAATGGGTGATTGAGTTTGGAGTCCTTTTCTTCTTTCACCTGAGATATGGTATTTGCACTAGTTCGTAATTGTCTCTGATGGGTTCTTTTGTTCGACTGCTGGAGATGATGGTACTTACTTGGAGAGTCCTATTGGGGTACGGAAGGACCCATAAATTCCCGTTTTGGGGGATGTTGGGGTTCATCTTGTGAGCTTCTTTATAATATTCGCGGTCAGTTAAAGGTCTTTACGGGCCATCAGGCCGTTAGTTGAAGCCATAAATGACAGTTGAGACTTTGAGAGAGGCAGAAAACATTAAATGATCACAGTATATCAATTCTTGTCCTAGCGTGTTTCCTGTTGTTCTCTTTAGACTTGAACAGGATGCACTTATTGCTAGTTAGCATTGGGAAAAAGCCCACTGACTTGAACATTGGGGAGTTTAAGGTTCCTGATCTTCGTTTTTTTCTAATGTGATACTGATTGATTGATATAGAGAGGACTGTAGAACTTAAAGCACCATTTTCACATATATCTGAAAGACTGGATCTTATTTGTGGAATGTAGGAATGGAGATCGGTACGGTGGAGAATACTTTGGAGACAAGATCCATGGTTTCGGTGTTTACCATTTCGCGAATGGCCATTGCTATGAAGGGTCGTGGCATGAAGGGAGGAAGCAAGGTTATGGGATGTACACTTTCAGGAATGGTGAAAGGAGATGTGGGGAATGGGATGGAGGTACCATTAAGATTTCCTTCTCTCCGCAATCTGATGCAGTTCTTCGAGCCGTCGAGGTAAACTAATGCTTGATGGATTGATTCGATTATTTGAAGAAAGCAACTCTGTGGTTTGTTGTGTCCAACGAGAAATATAAACTAATTACTATGAACTCGTCTGCTGCAGTCTGCCAGGAGAACAGCTGCCAATGCAGTGAAAGTTCGAAGAGTGGATGAGCAAGTGAATCGTGCGGTTCATACTGCAAACCGGGCAGCTACAGCTGCTAGAGTGGCTGCTGTAAGAGCGGTCCAGAACAGGATGGATGGCAAGTTTTGTGATACCAACGTTTAGTAGGTTAGCTAACATGAGTTTTTGGGCTGCGCACTGGATTGAAGAAGAAGAAGAAGATGAATGACTTCAAAAGGAAGGAAGAAAAATGTAAAGTTTGCCTTTTTATTTTAGGGTTTCGGTTTTCTTGCTTGCTAATTTAATGTAAGCTAAGCTGGGAAGCATGTTGTGGTGAAACACCCCGGTGAGCTGAGAAAGGAAAAGAAGGTTGCTGGAGGTTGAGAAAAGTGAGAGTGCTTTTGAGGCTCTCCTTCCCCTCCTCTTTCAAGTGTAATTTGTACATATTTCCCACTCGCCGCCATGTATATCGATCACTAATTGAAATATAAGTAGGAATTTTTCTTTTGTTTTCGAGTAGCAGTTGAACTAAGATTGCAGACTTGCAGTTGAATCTATAGTTGAACAGAGATTGCAGTTAGGGATGGCAATGGGTAGGATCGGGTGCGGGTTTACCTTATATCAACTCCTAACCCATCGGGTAGAGCCTTCTAAAATACCCGATTAAATACCCACCGGGTATGAAAATTATATAACCATACCCTACCGACCGGGTAACCACGGGTATTCGGGTAACCATGGGTACGAATCCTAAACTATGAAATTATACACATATATGCACATACATACTGTTGTCCATTAAAAATCCACACAAATAAAAATAGCAAACACATAATAATTTTTCTTGCTTCTACAATCCACAAACATAATAATCGTCTACATCATCATCAATAATGGTAGCTAAACTCAATTTCTCAAGCTAAACTAAATTTCTCAAGGGAAATTGACCCTTTGGTTAGCGGGACGGGTATAACGGGGCGGGTATTATCGATTACCATACCCGTACCCTACCCTTTATTTTGAAACCGGGTATTATCCGTACCCGGCCCTTAACTCGTCAAAGCGGGTAATTACCCTCGTTGACCGGTTACGGTCGGGTAGGGTACCCATGGTTACGGGTTGGATTGACATCCCTAATTGCAGTTGAATCTACACAAAAACCATAAAAGGTTCACTATTCAAAAAGTGTTCATTTGATCTCATCACATTGGCTAATCGGCGATGGTGCATTGTTTCAAATTCATTGTTTGAATCAAGAACTTAATTAATTATGATTATGATAGCCCCATTTCCCAAATGTTTAAAAACTCATGGCTTTCTTTGTCACACTAGTTTCATGTCAAATATTTAAAGTGATGAGGATTCAATGTTCAATTATCTAATTATGAGAGACGATAAACAATACAGCCCATCAACAAGGAGATATACAAATGTATAATTCCATGTTAGTTTCAAGTATATCCATCTTATCTTACTTGTAACATCAATCTTATTTCCTTTTTTTGAACTATAATGAATGAAGAAGGGTGGACCATTATGATCATGGGATTTTTCAAAAACCAGAATAGGAGGTGAGGTGTGGGGTTGAGGAGGGCCCACATGACAACAAAGAACAGAAAGAAAAAAAAAAGGGGTGCTTTGGTTTGGACTTTGGACATAACATAATCTTCAAAATAGGTTGGCAGTTGCCTTGGCACTCGTAATTATTATAATATTTATTAAAAACAGAAATATGAAGGTCGCTCAATTTGGTTTAGGTGAAGTGAAGATTTGATTTGTGCACCAAGAAAAATTTGGGCAGAACCGTCTTCTTTGACCTCTTCACCCCTCCTATCACCATTCACCACCAAATTTCAAACCCTCCAAAAGGGAAAAGACGCGGAAAAGAAAGACAGAAAGGATTACTAATGTCTATTAACATGATTGCAAACTGAAATAAATAAATGAGAAAACCATATATCAATATCAACAACATACTTTGCAAATATCAGCCAAAGCTTTGAAGATAAGAAACAGAGCAGATAAGGATGGCGACATGATGATTCGGCAAAATTAGGGACGCAGGACTGTTTCTCTCCTCCGACTACCGATGGCAATCAAACTTGCAATTGTGTATATCCAAAGCCCCCAGCTCAGTAAACATAGATAATTCTTGTATTTGCTGGATATAGGATGAATCATCAGTATGGATAAAATCTGTAAAAAAATTTTGATCGGATGAAACGGATAAAGCCGTCAAAATCAAAATTTTCTTTAAAATCGAAAATGGAATAAAATTGTAGTTGTAAAATCATAGAATTTTAAGGTCCAAATAAAAAATAAGAAAAAATTATATTAATGAGACCTCCTACAATAATTTGTATAGATCTAAACCGTCAAAATAAATTAAAATAAAAAAAAAGACGGGCACCCAGCACTGCTGGTCACCACTTTCCCCTTTTTAACTTTTATTTTTTTTCTTTCCTTTTTTCACATCAACGTTTATTTTGAATTTTTTCCTTTTCATGTTTTTTAAATTATTTTATTACATTTTTTAAATTACATCGGTTACGTAAACTATACATCTATTACTTAAAGTTTACAGAATGATAATGAGTTTTTACGTAACAGTTAAATTAAAAGTTTTACGTAAGAGTTTCGTTTTGATGTAACACTTTACGTAACATAAGCAGGGGCATATCCAGGATTTTATAGAGGGTGGGTCCATTTAGAAAAAAATACATACGATAAAATAGTTTTGTTATTGCTTTTAAATAATTCATGATGTAATATTGTATTTACAAAAACTTAGTAAATTAAATATATGTCTAAACTATCAAGAATATCACTCTATAAGTTTCACCCAATTATTGACGATTCAGTTAGACATTTGCTTTTGAATGGTGTTCTTCATCACGACCGTTTAGTATAAATAACCCGACTTTGTAAAAGCTTTAATAATGGACTTATACTATTTAGTATTTATAACACTTCCCCGCTAACGAAAACCAACTTCTACATGCTTAAATTTTTCGAAAATCCGAATATCATGTGCTTAACAAATGGGATCGCCAAAATTCGAACACGTGATCTTTCGGTCAACCATTCTCAATTAGAAGTGCGTTAAATTTCATTCTCAATTAACTATTATACTATTTTAGTCGTTTTTGTCCTTAGGAATCGCCTGTTACACTCTCCCTACCCTTGATTGAAATAAACTTATTTTTATAAATTAGCTATGATTTGATGGAAAATTGTTCGAGATATTGGACAAATACACTTTAATTTTGGACGGATCATATGCACCATTGTCATTTGTACATAACTCGTTATGAAAAAATTGAATATGTCAATACACAACTTATAAATCATAAATCAAATATTTGAAATGTCAACCATTTTCAATTAAACACGTGTTATTTTTTATACCGAATTAACTACCTAATTACAATGGCTTAATTGGTATTGTAGCAATATGAGGTTATTAGTGTGTTTAAGCTACCGTACAAGTACAAATCTATGGATTTATTTGTATATATTTAGCAAATAAAATTATCTTGATAAGTAATGAAGCGATATGTGGTTAATTGTTATCATAATATGCATTGTTATTACTATTCTATACTTCAAGTGTTATTTCTAGTATGAACCTTAAAATTTTGGAATTTTGCGATTTTAATCTACAATATTGATTATTCTCAGTTTTTTATTTAACATAAAATAATGATTTTGATTGCATTGATGACACTTACCCACTAATATCTCATCTCCTCCTACAGGAAGGCCATACATACAGGCCACATCCTGGTCTTCCATAGTCAACACCATCTTGTTCTCTCGTTCTCCAAATATAAAGCTGTCATTGGGGGAAGGGGGTCATACTTCTCCAGCATAGCCACCATCAAAGACTTCTGAAATTTTTACATTCAAAGCTCTAATAGCCCATCAAATCCAGCCTTCTGTAGTTCTTGCATGCTCCATAGTACCCTCAATCCTCCTTGTAGGATTTGACAACCAACAACAAATTTGAAGTGGGGCATCAACATTTTAGGTCTTAGCATTCTTGCCCTCTTCAACAGATGGACCTTCCACTAAATGTAGTACCGATTGAGATGGATCTTCCTCTACATTCTAGGTCTTATCATTCTCTCCTTTACGGGCCTTACCTCTTCTCAGCTACTATTTTGGTTCGAGCCATCTACCGAAATCCCTGAATATGAATACATAGGGTTCGTTTGGATGGGGAAAAGTATAAACAAGATATTTGGACTTAATTCCCTCGTTTAAAAAACCAGAGATTTTAAACAAAGAATTTGACCAATTTATCTGTTTGTTTACCAATAAGAATTTCATTAATCAGAAATTTGTTTTTATTGACAAATAGCATAATACGATTTTACCCTTTCCACCTAATCCCACTTATCTTCCTCCTCTGCGATGGAGACACCCACCGCCCTCACTTTCCCAAAATGGGCTCCAGAAGCTACTTCTCCCTCCTCTTCGCCTCTGTAATTTTCCCCAACCAACACACAACAACACCAATTTCCTCTCCTCAGACACAAAAGTACAGATCGCCTCCACCACTACCCACCACTGTCTTCAATTCAAACCACAACCCAGACCTTCCTTCCACAAGAACAAATCCTTGCCGCTATTGTCTTCTCAATCCGCCACTCTGTTTTCCTTCCCCTCTTCATTTTCCTAATTTCCTTCCAACCCGAACAGTATTGTCTCGCCTCGAATCTGCCTCACCAGATTTTCGCTCTTAAAACAGAGACCCACCAGCGGATTCCCAATTCCAGGATTTGCCCCTTATCCTTCCCCTTTCCTCTTTCGTTGTAACTAGAGCAAATCGCCATCGCCATTAGTCATCATCGTTCCAACACCTCATCGAAATCCCTGATCAATGCCGGGACGTTGACGAACACCAAATTGCAGATCTGGATCATCTTCTCTCCGGCAACCCCAATCGCCGGGAGAATCGTGTCCCACGAACAAATCCTTTTCAACACCCGGTTGGGACGCCCACTCCCCGATAGACCCGAATCGAAGCAGGCGTGGAAGACGATGGTTTTGGTGCCCGGGGAGACGATGAGAGGGTGATTAACCGGGTACCAGAAATCATCGCCGACCTTTGAGACCAACATGCAAGGGATTGACATTTCGTTGAAGATGGTGGATATGAAGGAAGCTAGGCCGCCGAGGGATTCGGTCTTAACGGTTGAGTCTTGAATCAAAAGATCAGTGACAGATGGGTGCTCGGGAATGGATTAATCTCGAAGCGACGAAGATGCAAGCGGAGGCAAGCTCGACTCCGACCATTGGGAAGCTCGCGAAGCCCAACCCTCTAGATCTGGGGGTTTCCAGAAATCGGCCAATCATCTTCCTCATCTCCCTTCTTTCTCTGCTAGTCTCCCGCCGGCGACTGAATCTGCCCAGAATCTCATCGAGTCACAAGGCGGCCACTTCCATCCCACGTGAAGCGCTTCAATGCGCTACTGGTGTTGATTGGGAATGCGACTTCTCTTCATCGTCGATGAAGCCCATCATTTAGCGATCTGCCTCTCTTCTTTACAGATTCGGCGACAGCAAAAGATTGCTTTGAAGATAAGAAACAGAGCAGATAAGGATGGCGACATGATGATTCGGCAAAATTAGGGACGCAGGACTGTTTCTCTCCTCCGACTACCGATGGCAATCAAACTTGCAATTGTGTATATCCAAAGCCCCCAGCTCAGTAAACATAGATAATTCTTGTATTTGCTGGATATAGGATGAATCATCAGTATGGATAAAATCTGTAAAAAAATTTTGATCGGATGAAACGGATAAAGCCGTCAAAATCAAAATTTTCTTTAAAATCGAAAATGGAATAAAATTGTAGTTGTAAAATCATAGAATTTTAAGGTCCAAATAAAAAATAAGAAAAAATTATATTAATGAGACCTCCTACAATAATTTGTATAGATCTAAACCGTCAAAATAAATTAAAATAAAAAAAAAGACGGGCACCCAGCACTGCTGGTCACCACTTTCCCCTTTTTAACTTTTATTTTTTTTCTTTCCTTTTTTCACATCAACGTTTATTTTGAATTTTTTCCTTTTCATGTTTTTTAAATTATTTTATTACATTTTTTAAATTACATCGGTTACGTAAACTATACATCTATTACTTAAAGTTTACAGAATGATAATGAGTTTTTACGTAACAGTTAAATTAAAAGTTTTACGTAAGAGTTTCGTTTTGATGTAACACTTTACGTAACATAAGCAAGGGCATATCCAGGATTTTATAGAGGGTGGGTCCATTTAGAAAAAAATACATACGATAAAATAGTTTTGTTATTGCTTTTAAATAATTCATGATGTAATATTGTATTTACAAAAACTTAGTAAATTAAATATATGTCTAAACTATCAAGAATATCACTCTATAAGTTTCACCCAATTATTGACGATTCAGTTAGACATTTGCTTTTGAATGGTGTTCTTCATCACGACCGTTTAGTATAAATAACCCGACTTTGTAAAAGCTTTAATAATGGACTTATACTATTTAGTATTTATAACACTTCCCCGCTAACGAAAACCAACTTCTACATGCTTAAATTTTTCGAAAATCCGAATATCATGTGCTTAACAAATGGGATCGCCAAAATTCGAACACGTGATCTTTCGGTCAACCATTCTCAATTAGAAGTGCGTTAAATTTCATTCTCAATTAACTATTATACTATTTTAGTCGTTTTTGTCCTTAGGAATCGCCTGTTACACTCTCCCTACCCTTGATTGAAATAAACTTATTTTTATAAATTAGCTATGTTTTGATGGAAAATTGTTCGAGATATTGGACAAATACACTTTAATTTTGGACGGATCATATGCACCATTGTCATTTGTACATAACTCGTTATGAAAAAATTGAATATGTCAATACACAACTTATAAATCATAAATCAAATATTTGAAATGTCAACCATTTTCAATTAAACACGTGTTATTTTTTATACCGAATTAACTATTATACCTAATTACAATGGCTTAATTGGTATTGTAGCAATATGAGGTTATTAGTGTGTTTAAGCTACCGTACAAGTACAAATCTATGGATTTATTTGTATATATTTAGCAAATAAAATTATCTTGATAAGTAATGAAGCGATATGTGGTTAATTGTTATCATAATATGCATTGTTATTACTATTCTATACTTCAAGTGTTATTTCTAGTATGAACCTTAAAATTTTGGAATTTTGCGATTTTAATCTACAATATTGATTATTCTCAGTTTTTTATTTAACATAAAATAATGATTTTGATTGCATTGATGACACTTACCCACTAATATCTCATCTCCTCCTACAGGAAGGCCATACATACAGGCCACATCCTGGTCTTCCATAGTCAACACCATCTTGTTCTCTCGTTCTCCAAATATAAAGCTGTCATTGGGGGAAGGGGGTCATACTTCTCCAGCATAGCCACCATCAAAGACTTCTGAAATTTTTACATTCAAAGCTCTAATAGCCCATCAAATCCAGCCTTCTGTAGCTCTTGCATGCTCCATAGTACCCTCAATCCTCCTTGTAGGATTTGACAACCAACAACAAATTTGAAGTGGGGCATCAACATTTTAGGTCTTAGCATTCTTGCCCTCTTCAATAGATGGACCTTCCACTAAATGTATTACCGATTGAGATGGATCTTACTCTACATTCTAGGTCTTATCATTCTCTCCTTTACGGGCCTTACCTCTTCTCAGCTACTATTTTGGTTCGAGCCATCTACCGAAATCCCTGAATATGAATACATATGGTTCGTTTGGATGGTGAAAAGTATAAACAAGATATTTGGACTTAATTCCCTCGTTTAAAAAACCAGAGATTTTAAACAAAGAATTTGACCAATTTATCTGTTTGTTTACCAATAAGAATTTCATTAATCAGAAATTTGTTTTTATTGACAAATAGCATAATACGATTTTACCCTTTCCACCTAATCCCACTTATCTTCCTCCTCTGCGATGGAGACACCCACCGCCCTCACTTTCCCAATATGGGCTCCAGAAGCTACTTCTCCCTCCTCTTCGCCTCTGTAATTTTCCCCAACCAACACACAACAACACCAATTTCCTCTCCTCAGACACAAAAGTACAGATCGCCTCCACCACTACCCACCACTGTCTTCAATTCAAACCACAACCCAGACCTTCCTTCCACAAGAACAAATCCTTGCCGCTATTGTCTTCTCAATCCGCCACTCTGTTTTCCTTCCCCTCTTCATTTTCCTAATTTCCTTCCAACCCGAACAGTATTGTCTCGCCTCGAATCTGCCTCACCAGATTTTCGCTCTTAAAACAGAGACCCACCAGCGGATTCCCAATTCCAGGATTTGCCCCTTATCCTTCCCCTTTCCTCTTTCGTTGTAACTAGAGCAAATCGCCATCGCCATTAGTCATCATCGTTCCAACACCTCATCGAAATCCCTGATCAATGCCGGGACGTTGACGAACACCAAATTGCAGATCTGGATCATCTTCTCTCCGGCAACCCCAATCGCCGGGAGAATCGTGTCCCACGAACAAATCCTTTTCAACACCCGGTTGGGACGCCCACTCCCCGATAGACCCGAATCGAAGCAGGCGTGGAAGACGATGGTTTTGGTGCCCGGGGAGACGATGAGAGGGTGATTAACCGGGTACCAGAAATCATCGCCGACCTTTGAGACCAACATGCAAGGGATTGACATTTCGTTGAAGATGGTGGATATGAAGGAAGCTAGGCCGCCGAGGGATTCGGTCTTAACGGTTGAGTCTTGAATCAAAAGATCAGTGGCAGATGGGTGCTCGGGAATGGATTAATCTCGAAGCGACGAAGATGCAAGCGGAGGCAAGCTCGACTCCGACCATTGGGAAGCTCGCGAAGCCCAACCCTCTAGATCTGGGGGTTTCCAGAAATCGGCCAATCATCTTCCTCATCTCCCTTCTTTCTCTGCTAGTCTCCCGCCGGCGACTGAATCTGCCCAGAATCTCATCGAGTCACAAGGCGGCCACTTCCATCCCACGTGAAGCGCTTCAATGCGCTACTGATGTTGATTGGGAATGCGACTTCTCTTCATCGTCGATGAAGCCCATCATTTAGCGATCTGCCTCTCTTCTTTACAGATTCGGCGACAGCAAAAGATTGCTTTGGTGAGGCCTTCTCCAACTAGGTTGACTGGGTCGCCATTGGGATCACCGACTCCGGCAAGAGATTCTGTTCGGGGGAAGAAGGTAGATGAGGGAGAGCAATAGATGACACGCTAGGGACACATTGGGAATAAGAAAATAATAAGGGCCGGAATTTAAAATACCTGGGGGTGGCAGCTAATTCCAATTCTGGATCGGGCCGGATTTGAAAATTCTGGAGGCCCAAATCTCGGCTATTTGTATGACCTATCCAAACAAGGTAATTGCTTAAATTCCTAGACGGGCCCGAATTTGGGGCCAATCCCTGCCCACTTTCCTGTATCCAAAGGACCCCAAAATAGTTTTCATTAGCTGCCAAGTATTGTTTAAAATCTTACAAGTAGTATTCGTCAAGCAACCTACTTGTATTCATTATGCTATCAAGTACTATTTAACCGCTTACAATTAATTATCATCGATAAACCGACTATTCATTATGATGTCAAGTAGTATTTAACAGCTTACAAGTAGTATTCATCAACCAACCAACTAATATTTAACTCATTGCAATTAGTATAAATCATGAATCCCACAAATATTCATACATTGGTAAGTAACTAGTATTCATCTTGGAACAAACTAGTACTCAAATATTGATATGTAACTAGTGTTCAACATGTCAGAACTAGTATTCCATATCTCAGAACTAGTATTCATCATGAAAACAACTAGTATTCATCAGGCAACCAACACCACAAACTAGAAACCACCACACATCACATAGATTATATCAATAACTCAAACCGAGTACATGAATCCACGAACGAGTGAATGTGAATCCATTCTTTCATTACTGTTTTCTGCAGATCGGGAAATAGGAGGATTCGACAATGAAAGAAACGAAAGCGCACACACACGACACACGATTTACGTGGTTCACTAACACAATGTGTGTTAGCTAGTCCACGGGCAGGAGAGAGCCAGTTTTCACTATACTTGAGGAGATACAGATTAGAGGGGAGTATGAGAAGTATTTATAGTACTTCTTCTAGGTATAACCCTAATCTAATCTGGTAAAGGAAAAGTGGTTACAACCAGGCCCAGAACCCGAACCCAAATAATATTCCCTGTAACTTCCAGTCGTGGCTGATAGTTCGATTCAAGTCACATCAACAAATCTCCACCTTGACTTGAATCCTCTTCCTCTAAAATCTCTAAGGTACTCTGATCCTTCTCTCCCTCCTGCCATCAATGCCCCATACGGCGGATTCACCCACTCAGTGGTGGACCCAGGATTTTGAGATAGGTGTGTCGACCAATAAAATTAGATTAAAAATAAATAAATATTAATTAATTAATGTAAAATAAACAGAAAAAATTTATTCATAAATTTCACCAATTTCATTATTTCTTACAGTCGATGAGGTTTCATATTCTGAAAGATTTCTTAATTACATTTGTCCATTAGGTTGCAAATCAAATATTTTGTATGTAAAAAATTAAACAATTATTCATAAACTGGTCACTAAACTTATACCAAAGATTGTTCTCGATTAAACTCATATGGAAAATGTCATTTTGTAGCTTGCAGTTGCAAGAGGTAAAGTCAATACTAATTTAAGATGAGAAATTTGGTATGAGAAGCTCGAAGGGCGACCACATGTGTCAACGTGAAAATTTGAATGAGCATGAGGATGTCATTGGCTCGACGCCGATGATTGAAGGGTGGCTACAGGCGTCAACATGGAAAGAAATAACTAAACTAGAAAGCAAGTTGAAAATTAACTTAAAGAAAAATCTATGAATGAAGCAATAGGGAAAGACAACGTGGAATTCACTATATAATTATTTGACTCAACCAACTTATTAATCAATTTAATTCTCATTCAAATTATCGATGTTGTCTCTAAGAGGATAGCTATCTTTCTAAATACTCACTACGTACTAAGTAGTCAATTAATTGTTTACTCTTGTGCAACCAACTAATTAACTACCGAATCTGAAGTCCATAACTCTTATATTTACATATTTTAATAACATTATGATAACAATTTTTTTTAATGTAATAAGGTGTGTCGGTTACAAGTATTGAAGGTGTTTCGGAGATCCCATATTCAAATTTTTTATACTAAAAAATTGTGGGTCTTCACAAAAATTTCGGACCAAGGTGTGTCGGGTGACACACCTTGATTAAAGGTGGGTCCGCCCATGCACCCACTCAAGACATTCAGCAAGTCCAAGCAGTGTTGGAACTTGACATGTGGAGCCGGCTTCGTGAACATGTCAACAGGATTATCTATGGTGTCAACCTTCTTCACCTTAATTCTCTTCTCTGTCCTGAAGAAATGATACCTCACATCGATGTGCTTAGTCCTTTTTTGATGGACTTGATCCTTGGCCAAGTATATTGCACTCAAACTGTCGCAATACACCTCAGCCTAATCATATTATAGACCCAAATCACCAACCAGTCCCTTCAACCATATTTCCTTCTTAGCAGCTTCTATTAACGCCATATACTCAACCTCAGTAGTAGACAATGTCACCGTCAACTGCAGAGTTGCCTTCCATCTCACTACAGAACTCCCAAGAGTGAATACATAACCGGTCATCGATCTCTTCGTGTCAACATCTCCAGCATAGTCAGACTCTGAATAACCAACCACTAAGCACTTCGTATCACTTGCGAAGCTAATCCCCTCATCAGATGTACCCTTAAGGTACCGGAAGATCCTCTTCACAGCCTGCCAATGGTCCTTCCCAGGTTGTATCATGAACCTGCTGACAACACTAACAACATGTGCAAGATCAGGTCTAGTACATACCATAGCGTACATCAAACACCAACTACACTAGCATATGGGACTCTCGACATGTACTCCTTCTTAGTCTCTAATTATGGTGCATAAACTGCGGATAGATGAACATTAGAAGCACTAGGATTATTTAAAGGCTTTGCTGAAGACATGTCGAACCTGGGCAATATCTTCTGGATGTAGCTCTTCTAGACAAGAACAACTTCTTCATTGACCTATCCCTGTAAATCTCCATACCCAGAATCTTATGAGCAGCTCCAAAATCCTTTATCTCAAACTCAGCACTGAGAAGCCCCTTTAACCTCTGGATACCAGACTTCAACCATGCATCCATATCATCCACATACAGAACCAGATATATCATCGAACCATCCGCTGCCTTGTTGTGATATACACAACAATCTAGGGACTTTTGTTGTAGCTCACCTCAAGCATGTAGCTGTCAAACCTCTTGTACCACTACCTCGGAGATTTCTTAAGTCCATACAAGGACTTCTTCAGCTTACAAACCTAGTCTTCTTTTCCTGGAACCTGGAATTCTTCTGGCTGATTCATGTAAATTTCTTCCTCCAACTCTCCATGTAGGAAAGCTGTCTTCACGTCTAGCTGCTCGAGCTCCAAGTCATAATGTGCCACTGTCGCTAGCAACACCCTGATCGAAGTGTGTCTAACCACTGGTGAGGAAATCTCATTGTAGTCAACTCCTTCCCTCTGAGAGAAGCCTATTGAAACTACCCGAGATTTAAATTTAATTCTCTCTTCATAAGTGATTATTTCCTTCTTCTTGTAGATCCACTTGTTTATAACAATCTTCCTTCCCTGTGTACGTTTGACCAACTCCCAAGTCTGATTCGTATCATGGGATTCCATCTCGTTTCCCATTACAGCGAGCCACAACTTCACTACACGAAATTGCTTCTCTGTAGGACTGTGGTTCACTCGCATCCTCCTCTTTAGCAACTTGAAAAAGCATACGCCACCATGTCCTCGAAACCATACCTTTGTGGAGGTACTCCTACAGTTGCTCTCTTAGGTCTACTGGAAGCTATAGACTGTTGAGCTCCTGCACTGAACTTTGAAGTTTTTGACTCATCAGAAATATCTTCATGTTGATCTTCTCCACCTTGGTGCTCAAACTCACTCTCTTTTAGAGTTTTGCAGCTCCACCTGATTATCAACATTCCTGCTATCTCCAATAACAGTAACTTTGAACATGGGGTTAAACATAGACTTCTCTTCAAATATCACATTCCTGCTAAGTATAACTCTATGCTCAGAAGGTGATTAGACTCAAAATCCCTTAACTCCATCTCCAAAACCCACGAAAACACCCTTCTTTGCTCTTGGATTCAACGTACCCTCATCCACATGATAGTAAACAGGACAACAGAAACCTTTCAATGAAGAGTAATCAACATGCTTACCATACCACACCTCATAAGGAGTTTTGCACTCGATACATGTGTGAGGTCCACGGTTGATGAGGTAGCACACCATGGTTACTGCTTCTGCCCAGAACTCCTCTCTAGTCCATCATTAGAGAGCATGAATCTTGCTCTCTCCAATAATGTTTGGTTCATCCTTTCTGCAATGTCATTTTGCTGTGGTGTATCTCTAACGGTCTAATGAAGGGAAATCACTTCATCCTTGCATATTTCGTTGAACTCAGAACTGCAAAACTCCAGACTATTGTTCGTTCGAAGTTTCTTGATCTTCTTCTCGATCTGATTCTCCACCAAAGTCTTCCACTACTTGAACTTCATGAAGGCTTCACTTTTCTGCTTCATCATGAAAATCCAATAAAACCTTGAGTAATCATCAATAATAGACAGAAAATACTTGCTGCCTCCAATGGATTCAACTCGTGAAGGACCCAACAATCCGAGTGGAGGTAATCTAG